TCGAGGCCCCACCACCTTCCTTGCCACCCGCGGTCCTGCAGACTTCACTTTCCAGCTCACCAAATTCCCCCTCGCTGCTCCCCCAGCTCCCATTCACTCCTCACAGCCCAGCTACGATGTCACATCCTCCTAGGCAGGCGTTCGTCCCCCACAGCTTCAAAACTGGACGCAGCTCAAACGTGCCCCAGCAGGGGGATGCACCGAGCGTGGCGTGCCTGTGCAATGGAGCGCTGCACGGCCAGGAGAAAGATATGACTCCCACGTGCCACGACAGAGCCACGTGTGCCCGCTCCGCAGAGGGGGCTCGGCCATCCTCTCCGGGAAGGGGTGTGAGGTGGCTCGAGGATGCGAGGTAGCCCCAACCGGGGCTCCTCGAGGCTCAGTTTACTCCCTCTGGGGCACCGTTCTGAAGAGGCAAGAAAAGCCTGGGGTTCAAAAAGGTATTTTCCTGCACTAACTAACCAAAGGCACTGTGGGGAGAATGTCACGTCTCCCCCAGAGTCACCAAGGATTGGGGGCTGCTGGGGTGCAGACAGATCGGACCCCCTTACCTAGAGAGTGGGCTGCGGTGGTCTCGGAGCTGAAGAAGCGGCCCAGGCCAAGGTCGCCGAGCTTCACGACGCCCGTGGCCGTGATGAACACATTGGCGGGCTTGATGTCTGCAGGGGAAGAAGAAGGGGGTTGATGCGGGTCTGAGGGATAGAGGGGTCGGGCAGTGATGGGGGGCCCTTCCGGTGCTGGGGGGCCCAGGCCTGGGTCCTGTCCTGCTCCCTCTCACTCTCTCACTCACTCATCCACTCGGAGAATTTGTGTAACAAGTGACGGAAGCGCTCAGTGCGGTACCCGGCCCGCACTGAGTGACTGGCAGGTGCCTCGCCACGGCAGACGCTGGTCAACACAGGTGGAGTGAACCTGTGAAGTAACCTAAGCAAAGCGCCCAGCACCCTTCCTGGTACCCTGCAGGCTTCTTCCTCACCACTCAGGATGACGTCACCTTTCGCAAACATTCCTTTGTAGATGTCTCATTTCCTTTGCTCAGCCAACTCCTACGAAGACTTCAAAGCCCATACTAAAAGTTCTCTTTTCTGGGATGCTTCCTCTGCCATCCCGGGCAGAGCTGGCAGCAGTATTGGAAGTGGCCAGCCCCTCCACCCATCCTCGCTGAGATCCCCTCCGTGCTGGCCCCGGCATGGTGCTGGGGGCTGGAGATGATACACTGAGTGTGGCCCATGTCCCCTGGGGTCCATGTGACTACCTGGCCTTTGGTGCCTCCACCATGGGGAGGCCTGAGGCACCAGGCATGAGGCGTGTGTGAGCCTCGAGCTCAAGGTCTCACATGTGCCCATCCTCTGGCTCCGCTAAGGCCAGGAAGATGCTCGACACCCACTTGTCTGGGGACTACGAAGTGATCCACCTTCCTCAGGGACGTCCCAAGGAGCCAGGAGGAGCGGAAGGGAAGCCTGCACCGTGGGCCCCGGGGTGCCTGGCCTTCTGCTGGCTCTGGCCTCACGGCCCAGGGGGCCGGCGTGTACGCACCGCGGTGCATCACCCGGCGTGAGTGCATGTGCTCCACGGCGCTGCACAGTTGCACGAAGTACTTCCACACTGTCCTCTCGGGGATGAGCCGCTTCTGCTTCTTGAAGTACTGAGGTGGGGGAGACAGACAGACAGACAGACAGACAGGCGTAGGTGACGGGCCTGGGAGAGAGGGCAGCTGCAGGGCTCTGCCCTGTCCTGTCCTCAGAGGCAGCTGGAGCCTGGCTGGGGTGGGCGGTCAGGCTGCTGGACAAACAATAAACGTGGAATGCAGGGTGCTGTGTTCACATCTCTGCTCCAGCCCAGGCTGCCCTCCGCGGTCCTCTGCCCACCCCCCGCCCAGCGGTGAGCTCCTGAGGGCGGGGCAGGGGGCAAGCCTGGCCCAGAGCGGATGCCTGGACTGCTTCCTGCATCCTGCTTGGACTGCATCCTGCATCACACTTTTTATGGAATCTCCTGGACACGGGCCCATCTCCTCCGCCTGCCCAACAGGGAGCTCCTTGTGGGAATGGGCTGGCGTGGCCCAGGACGGGGACATCTAAGACGAGCCTAGTGGCTAAATCACAGCTTCCCCCACCTCCTCAGAGCTGGCAAATCTCAGCCCACGTGATCCTTCATAAACACAGCAAGAACCCCAAGAAAATAGGCTTGACATTCTCAAATGGACCCTAGGCTTCGATAGGCATTTATCTACTTCATTGCCTGAAAAACCATATTTAATGCTCGGGAAACCAAAACCAAAGACCCCAAACCACCCAGGCCGCACTGAGTGAGCTGTAAGGAAACAAAGGTCATGGAGGGCGTAAACTAGGAGGCTCCCCAGTCCACGGTTCAGACCAACATCCCAGCAGCGTCCCCTGCGAGCTGGGGCAGGGCAGTGACTCACGCCAGCCACCTGAGTGCCAGGTTTCCGCCCAGGGGCTTTTGTTCCTTAGCAGCCAGTCACCTTTCCCCAGAGCAGCCAGAGGCCACGCCATGGGCCCCTCCATTAGGACTGTCACTCTGGCACACGGAAGACCAGGACTGCCTGGGGACACACTCCCGGCCTGGGAAAGGGGGCGTGAGGTGGAGGACAGGACCTGAGCACCTGCCACGTGCAGCGCCTGTGCTGGGCCCTAAGCAGGGATGACGACACTGTCTTCCAGACGAGGAAACGGAGGGCCGCGCCCCGTAGCTAGTGAGGGACACAGTCACGGCTCAACCCCAGGCCTTCTGCCGAGAAAGCTCAGACTTTTAACCCACTTCTAACGATGCCAGTAACCACCTGAGGAGGGACCAAGCCAAGAGAGGTCTGGGAATTGCTCAGGGCCACCCAGCTGGGGTTGGATCTGAGCACCTCCAATAGTAGGATAGTCATAACCGGAAGCCCCTGGCCCGGCACTAAAGCCCCACGAGGTTCTCCCAGGGCTCCACCCAGGAGAGGGACCTCATGGGTGAGCTGCCCCAGGCTCCCAGCCCAGATCCCCCAACACAGGTCCCCCATGTCCCCCTGGGCTTGTGAGGTGGGCCGAGCTGGAGTGTTATTTACACCACGATGTTAGCTAATCCTCATTATAGCATTTAAGCGAGATGCACACGGCCGTGAGTGGTGATTTTCTAAATGTCACGTCCTATAAGCGCCGTGTGACATTTATCGGGAAGGCGCCAAGTCTCTGGTGGGTTTCGGAGTGGCGGCAGCTCCCGGCTTCACCATCCGCCATAAATAATGCCAGCATCATGGCCATGGAGCTGCTGCTTTGCCCCTGAGTTTGGGGGCTCTTGGGACTCGGGGCCTGCTGGTCAGGGGCCTCTCAAGCCCTGCGGGCCCACCGTGCCCTCCTCACGCGTCCCTTGGGACGGGCGTGGAAACCGAGGTTCAGGGAAGGGAGAGACTCGATTTGCCCAGCCACCCCTGCCCCCAACTGTCAGACTCCAGGTTCTGGAGTCCGGCGTAGGCCACAGTCCAGGGTCTCCTCTTTGTCACCTATGCTCCTCCCCCTGTTCCCTCTCTCCCCCGCACCCATCCTCTGTGGGGCATCCAGTCTTTCTCCTAGGGCACAAAGCTGTTTACTTCCCACCACGAGTGTTAGGAAACTTCTCCTCGTACTGACTCAGGGCGAGGCTCCGAATCCTGACCTGGACAGGAGGCCCTGGGCGGTCCGACCGCCTCCCCTTTGCCCACCGCCTCCCCTCACCTCACCCAGCGCTCCCTTGGACCAAAGTGTCTGGGTTTCATCCCTCTGGGCCCTTGCATGAGACCTTTCACCACTAGACTTTGGGTCTCCCTTCAAGTCTCTGCTCAGGTGTCACCTCTTCCAGGAAGCCTTCCTGGGCTCCACAGGCCCTGAACTTGGCTTATTCTGGCCGGCAGATCATTCACGGGTCTGCCCTCCTGTTAGAAGACGAACTCCCTGAGGGCGGTGCCCAGGCCGGCAGCGTCCCTAGGTCTCGGGACGGGGCCTGGCACACAGTGGGTGCTGGGTGCACGCATGTTCAGTAGCAGAGTGACACACGCAGGAGAAAGTGTGAGCGGGGGAGAGGGACGATCTAAGATGTGGCATAGCACATCTGTTCCCACCAGAGATCTGCGTGGAGATTAACATCCCTGCGAACGCATTAATATGTCAACGGAAATATAAAAGCAGGTGATAACAGCTCAAGTAATGCCACCCCAGCGACGCCGTATTCCTCCTAGGAGCCGAATTTCAGAAGAGCAAGCACCGAGCAATTGCTCAGTCCCCAGTGCCTGGTGGGAAAGACAGAGAGTCCGTGTCTGGCTCCGTTTGCAAGAGTAGCTGGGAGCAGGGCGGGGCCCGAGCCGGCCCAGGCCTGGTCAGGAGCCGACAGACTGGCCTGAGGGAGGGAGGCAGTGAGGGCCCCCCACAGCAGCCCGCGGACTCAGGCCAAGCCTTGAGGGAGAAGCAGTTTCCTCAGGAGCAGGGCTGAGGCCTCAGGCCTGAGGGTCCTGCTTAGAGGCTGTGCTGCCTCGGGCCGGTGACTAAACATCTCAGAGCTTTGCTATCTGAGGATAGAACGGGCTCCTCAGTGACGCATGTGCTTGGCACGGCTGTGGCCCGCGGTAAGTGCTCTGTCAGCGGGGCCATGACAGTCCCTGAGTCTGGACTCATGGTGGGCCTGCTCCTGGGTCCCAGGAGCGGGGCAAAGGGGCGGGATGGTGTGGGGTCTGTCGTGGGGTGACTTGCCAGGCCTGGTACTAAGCCTGCCGGTGGGGCCTGGCAAGTCAATCGACCTCTCGGATACCCCTGGCCTTGCCCATGAAGATGCCCCTCAGGAAAATGATGTCTGCTGGAGGGTTTCAGGCTGAGGAAGAGAGACCTGGGCCACAGGCCCGGCTCTGTCGCCCCATCGCTGGGTATCCTCAAGCAAGTCTCTTAACTTCTCTGGGCTCAGTTTTCCCTTTTGTAAAATGAGGCAATTGGACCCATAAGATATTTTCCCAGATTCTGTGAGCTGGGGTCTGAGCTAACGCAGGATTCTGTGCCTATTCCTTCTGAGAGGCAGGAGAATGACCCATGAGCCCATGGGTAGGCTGAGGCAGTGGGAACAGCCAGAGGGGTCCTTTCTGTCTATGGTTGACCCTCTTCCAGCAAATTGGAACAGGCCCCGATCAGGCACTCACCAGGTCATGGCTGAGGCCTGTGGGCATTGGCAAGGGGGGCTGAGTGTCTCCGAGGGGCTACCCCATCTGAGGCTGAATCAGTGAGGAACTTGAGCTGGGGAGGGTCTCCCCATGTCTGGGCAGCCCTCAGACCCCACCCACCCGCCAGGCACCCTCACCTTGATCATCTGTGAGAGGTCGCCTGCATCGGCCAGCTCCAGCACAATGTTCAGCTCGTTGTCCTCGATAAATGAGTCCAAATACTTGATGATGTTCGGATGATTCAGTTGCTGCCCAAGGAGAGAGGCGGGTGGGGGGAAGGTGGAGCCAGTGAGAGATGGTAGAGCCCCAGCATCTGGCACCCAGCTGGCAAGGCCCCGGCATTTGCCGGAGAGGTGAGTGCTTTAGGGGAAAGCCCTGTGCTTTGGAGTCGGGTAGACCTGGGTGACCTTGGGAAAGCCATTTTGCATTGCTGGGTCTCAGTTTCCTCATCCGTTAAACAGGCAAAATGCTTCGAGGAGCATTTGCGAAGACGGATGGAATAATAGCCTTGAAATGTCCACCACGGTGACGGCTCGGAGCCGAGACTCCTCAGATGCTTGTGGGAATGATCTTTCTCTTTCTCCTCCTCATCAGCGCCACCTATGACCTTCCAGGGTGGGCCGGGCCCCCTCCCCTCTGTCGCTGTGCTTAGCGGGCCTGCAGCTGGCACTCAGAAGTGCTCACCTCCTTCCTTCTTCCTTCCTGCTCTTTGTCAATTTCTGACCCATCCCTAGTGGAATCTTGGGGGGGTGGAGGGTTGGGGGGTAAAAACCATTCCTGGTGTGGGAGCTGCCCTGAGTGATGTGCTCAGACGCCTCTGGCCTGACCACTGGACCTGTATGTTTGCTGAGGTTATGTGTGGGGAGCCCGGGCAGGACAGTACCCCACTGGCTAGAAGTCACCCCTACCTGGCCAAGAGGAGACCCTGGCAATTGTTTGTAACCGAAACTGACTGTTGACCTCAAAATGATTCCAGGATCGGGGAAAGCAGAGGAGACTCTGATATTCTGCCATAGTACAGTTGGCCTGGCCACTGGGGCTCCTGTCAGCTGATGGCCAGGGGCCAGTCTAGAGCACAGTTTCTAAATAAAAGGCCTGGACATTGCTGGGAGAGAGCTGTGCACCTATGCTGCCTGCCAACCTGTGCCTGTCCTTGGTTTCTAAAATGAGGGGGGACTTTGGCAGACTTCACAGTCAAGCCATCCCCCACCCATTCATTTCCCAAGCCAGCCCTTGATGGGAGACCCCTCTATATGCCCCCAGGGGCCAGAGGAGGCCTCTGCTATTGGCCTTGGCTCTACCCCCACATGTCTGCCCCTCCCTTGAAGCCCCAGAGACTGACCTCAGTCCACTCTGGTGCCCAATGCATGTCCTAGTCCTCAGGCCCCCTGCTCCTGCCCACCCCCTCAGCCCACACTAGCGCATCTCACAGGGTTGTCCTGTTGGACTGCCCAGCAAATGCTATATTACGGTTTTAGCTTCTATGTTTAGGTCTATGATCCTTTCCAAGCTAATTTTCATGCATGGCGTGAGGCAGGACTCCAGACTCACTTCTATCCACCTGGATGTCCAGCGTTCCCAGCATCCTGAACTGAAAGTCTTTCCTTTGTTCACTGAATTGTTTTGGTGCCTTTGCAAAAATCACCTCACCCAGTTTTTGTTGTGAGGTCTCTCCAGAGCTAACACTGTCCAAAGCATCAGCCGCCCTCAGCACACATCACATTCTATAGATGTTTTCATTTACCAAAAAAAATAAATAAATAAATCAAAATAAGTGGTCGAAAAGTTGAAAATGCTTTAAAATCTTTAAAGCATGTTATAAAGTCCTGGCGCTGTTGTTACTATTGCAAATGAGAACGTCCCGTTCTTTAATCTCCTCCTCAGAGCTTACTTCATCAGGAAATCTTCCCCTCTGCCAGGGAGGGCTCCCCAAAACCCACCCAGGTCATCAGAGGTCTGGGCATCACAGGTTTTCAAATAACTTGGAAAAATCAGAGGGGGCTTTGGACGGAAACTAAAGACTTCCATGGGTGAGGGGAGGGGTGTGTGTGGGGGGGAGGGGCGCTGTTCCGTTGAGGTGCAGGCTCCTGGGGAGAGAAGTGAGGAGACCCCCTCCCCTCTCCTGGGGCAGGGCTGAGGCCAGGACGTGAAGCAAGTGCTCCCCCAAACGCCCAGTCGGTCTGCAAAGGCACAGGCTGGGCGACTGGGTGAAATCCTGAGGCCTGGAGAGGGAAGGGACTGGCCAGGGCCCAGGCCGAGCCGAGAACCTGTTCCGTGAGCACAGACCCTTGTCCCCTGGAGTCCTCTCCTCTTGGAGAGCCCAGCAGGGTCTGAAAGGGGGCACACTTGGGCCAGGGGCACAGAAAGTACTCCAAAGATGCGAGTGTTTGGGTTTCGCTTGGCAGTGGTTTGTGAGTGGAAGAGGGGTGACTGTGAGAGGCAGAAGGCTCCCCACCCTGGCTTCAAGCATGTGGGGTTCAGGACGGAGTCACACCTAAGAGTCACCTCCAGTGTGCCTCCTCCTGGCGACCTCTGCCTGCCTCGCACTCTCTTGGGTCCCTATAATCCACGCCCACCCCTCCCCTGAGATCAGATCTTGTCACCTCCCTCTTTCCCGCCAGACTTCAAGCTTCACGGGGTTGTCCCTGAGGCCCAGGGCCAGGCCTAGCTGTGGTGGTGGCTGCTGAGGGATGGACCATGGCCAGAGGAAAGGGTGGTGGGCAGGGCTGAGAGTAAAGGGTGCATCCGTGCAAGGTCCCCTCTTCTCCAAATCTCTGCACTTGTGGCCCCTCCTGTCCCTGATACAGAACAAGTCTGTCTGTCTAGGATCTGTCTTCCCCACTGGGCTGCATCCCATGTCGAGCACCAGTGTCAGTGGTGCTTAAAAACTGTGCTGAATATCCGGATACTTGAACTGTGCCTGCGTCCCAGCGGAGCCCACCTCCCTGCCCCCCATCTGGCAGCCTCTGCCCTGGGAGGCTTTGGGCTTCGGGTCCTGGCATGAACGGTACGAATGATGCCGCCCCGTGGCCCCTCTGAGAACCGTGTTTCCCTTTGTTTTGTAGGAAACACCTCCTGCCCTGGCACATCCTGTTGACTTCCCATGGGCAGGCCGGGGAGCTGGACTGGCGTTCTGGAAATAGGCTGGCGTTGCCTGGCTGTGGCGGCAAGGGTTGACTCTGACCCAGCACTCGGCACACGCCGGGCACCTCACCGAGCTCCTCCAGGCGTCTACTCACTAAGCCCCCCAGTAGTCTGAAGCCAGCACCCTTGTCTTCACCCCCTTGTACAGATGAGGAAACTGAGGCTCCGAATGGTCAACAGCTTGTCCACGGCCACATGGCTAGTGAGTGAGGGGCTCCTGGGCCTTCAAAGCCCACACCTTCTCTCTTCCTCCGTCACCTCTGAGATCCCAGGCATGGGGAGTAGGGAGAGATCCACAGGAGGGGGCAGCCCCAGGCCAGGGCCAAGTCGCATCCTATCATTTCTTACTCTGGGGAAACCAGCAGGGAGGAGAAAAGGGACCGCAGGCTCCCCCACCGTCCCCACGCCGCATGCCTCACCTGGACGGGCCCCTCATGTCTGTCCCTTCCCTTCCAGTAAGCCTAGTTCCGGATAAGCTGAGGACGTCTGTCCACAGAGTGGCCTGTCCCCAGGAGTGCATCCTGCTCAGGGCACTCACCTTCAGGAGGCCAATCTCCTTGACACAGTCCTGCCTGGCCTTGGCGTCCATCATCTCAAATATCTTGGGGGGAGAGGAAAAAGAAAAAGAATGGTTAAACCCCAGCCCCCAGCGTCCCAGTTTATCCGCTTCCTCGCCAAGGGACCGCCCCCTCCCCTGTCTGGACAACAGTTCTGCTTAGCGGGTGCCTGCCGTGTGCCAGGCGCCAAGCTGGCCACTTGATGCTGAATCGTCATGGCGACTCCCGTAAGGCAAGAGTTACTGCTGCCGATGTACGGAGGACGAGACTGAGGCCCAGAGAAGACCAATGACTTGTGAAGTCACACGCTAGTACAGGGCAGGCCAGGAAACATGCTCAGAGCCTCAGCCTCCACTTCTGTAAATGGGGCCGATGGCCTGAGCTCATAGGTTGTCACGTGGACAGAGTGAGCCGATGCAGCACAGCCCCGGGCACCGTGTGCCCCCTGGTGCCCACTCGGGGTGGGTCTTCCCAGCACCTTCTGACTTACAGGAACAGACAGAAGGTCAACAGGGCGGCAGCCCCACCACAAACCCCATCATGGCACAAACAAAGCAAGACAAAGAGAGCCCAGGTGAGCCCCTCCTTGGAGACAAAGGGTAGAAAACAGGTCTCTTCTGGACAGAGGAGCCTGTCTCTCCTTCAGCAATGACAAGCCGTGTGCGGGTCACAGACCAACACAGAAACCATCATGCTGAGGTCCTGAGGCCAGAGTTCTTGGCCCAGCTCTCCACCCCGTGACTGCATCTCAGTCACCTTCCCTCTCCCTGGGCCTCCTCTGTCCAGGCTGCTAATCTCACTCTTTAAAGACAAATGAGCAAATCAGGGATTCAGGCAGCTCTGCCGGAGGTTTAAACCATTTCCTGCAGGAGAGCGGCAAACGGGCCCACTGCTGTCCACTAGACTTTGCTGCTTAAAACCTGTCTGCTCGACTCCCTCCCCTCATTTCGGAGGCACACAGAGGTCAGGAAGGACACTCAAGCCCAGAACCAACCAGCGTCCAGGCACCGAGGTCAGTGGGACTTAGCTTGCTCCGGGCCTGGCGAGTCACTTCCTCATCTGAAAAGCGGGTTGGTAATCCCCACCCCACCCACGGGGCTGTTGCTGAGGTTCCGTGAGCTCCTAGCAGGACCCAGTATCCAGCAGGTGCTCAGTGCATGCACATTTTTCTTTTCCTTTATGGCTCACAGTGAGCTTTTATGGACAGGAGCCCACCTGATTCTCTTCACAGCCCACTGCGTTGGGGACTAATTCCCTCCTCTTCAGAGGAAATGCAGGGAGGGGAGGAGAGAAAGGGACCGGCCAGGCACCACAATATTTAGACACAGAAGCCGCTCCTGCACTGCGGCTTTGAACCCATGAAGTCGTTGGCTCACCTGCACCTTCTTCAGAGCCACCGTCTTCCTGTCCAGCAGGCAAGTGGCCTTGTACACCTCACTGAACTGCCCTCGGCCGATCTTCTTCTCAATCTGGAAGTCTGCCAGCGAGCAGCGAAAAGATAGGGCGTTCGGGTGCCTCTGGAGGGGACAGACAGGGGACAGACAGGGGCATCAGTGTCCAGCTGGGCCAGAGTGGAGGCTGCTGCCACTTCCCAGTGGTGCCCCTCGAAGGTGAAGGAGGGACTCTGGTCACCAACCCCACTGTCAGAGCGCCCCCCACCATGGGCATCTCTGAAAGTGCACCCCAGTCTTAGTCCCCTCCGTGTACCCTGAGCCGAGGCTCCGACCTGCCTAAGTGCTAGGGGAATGTTTGTTGAACGACACAGTGAAAAATGCCCAAAGCAGCTTGGCACACAAGTGGGAGTCTGTGACCAATCCACTGTCACTTCTATGAGTGCGGCCAAAATCACACTCCCTCAGAAAAAGGCCATTTTCTCAGCACCTGGAGGAATCACACATACTCATGAAAATAATGACATGTCATCGTGTATTAGTAGCTACTATGTTCAGTTACTGTACTGGCTGCTTCGACAGATTTTATGACTAATCTCCTAACAGCCTTATAAAGCAAGGCTTGTTAATCCCATTTTATAAATAAGGAAACGGAGGCACAGTCACACAGCTAGCCAGTAGTGAGCTGGGGCTTGACCCTCTGACAGTCTAGAGCCAGGTGTGTTCCCGGGTGACATGGGCAGGGTCCCTCCCCTCTCTGGGTCTCAGCTTCCCCGCTGGGACTTGAAGGGTTTGGAGGATATGATGTCCAGGGGTCCCCAGACCGGGAACACTGGGCTATTTCTCCCAGTGACAAGTGGCTGGAGTCCCCAGCACTCTGCACCCTGCCCCAGAGGCCAAGCTGCCCAACTCCACAGCCACCGCAGGATGCTCCCAGAGGATGTGGCTTGACATCCCAGCAGGCAGCGCTGACATTCCAGCTGCACATCTGCATATGCAATGACCCAGATTTGCATTTCCTGTCACAACCCATTCGACCTAATTAGAGGACCAAGCTCCTGTGGTGGGCAGGTTACTCTCAGGCAGCTTGTACCATGGTGGCTCATAGTAATAATCCTGATGGCCTTTCTGAAAACTGCTCATCTGACGCTTACTGTCCAGATGGGGGTGGGACCCCACAGTAGCTCCTGGGGGAAATAAACACAATCCCTGGGGCACAAGTTGGCAGAGAGGTGACAATTGGTTGAGACACTGACACTCGGGCCTCAAAGCTTGGGTTCAAATCTCAGTTCTGCCACTTCCTGCCTGTGGGCCTTGGGTAATGAACGAATGAATGAAAGCACTTGGCACCCGGGAAATGCTGTTTGTTATTATTATTATTACTGGCATTGAGGAATGTCTGTAGAGCAGCAGCACCTGCTTCCAGGGGGCTGGGGATGAACTGCAGCAGGGTGTGCACCCAGGTGAGTGCCGGGCCCAGGGCATAAGCACAGGGAGTTCTCATGCCCATCGAGGGTGTATCCAGCTCTGGGCTCCTTAGCTATGAAAACTAAAATGAATTTTAAAATATATGGATAAGATCAATGGCACACTATTTCCCTAACACCCACGATATTAGATTCCATGCCGGATGTTTAGAGAGAACCGGCTCACTTAGTCTCTGCAGCTCCATTTCGCAGACGAGGAAACTGAGGCTCAGAGACGTCTTTTACCCACGGTCTCCTGGCTGCAGTAAAGCAGAGAGGCCGGCGTGGCCCAGCATCCTTCTGACCTCACGAGTCCTCTGGGACTGTTTGCCATGGGGCCGTGCTAGGCAATAGGCTGGCCTCACATGGCTGCGCTATGGGTACTGGAGGCAATTTCTAACCCCTCACCCACCTTCCTCAGGGTAGGAGCCCCTTATTTCTCCCCACCAGGGAGAGGAGATGGGGTGGGGGACTGGAAGGAGGGGGCAGGGATGCTGGCCAGGGGGCCTGAGGGAGGATGCACGATCTCAGAGAGAGGAGAGACCTCTGGGAGTAGCTCTGGAGGGATCTGGAGCCGCCGAGGAGATGGCCCAGGTGCCTGAGTCACCTCTATCTCCAATCCCACCCTCCTGAGAAATGCCGCCAGCCTTCTCTGGCCAAGGCCAGACATATGGGGAAGGGGTGCCTTAAACCATGCCAGGACACCCCCACTCCAGAAAGCTCGGAGAAAGCCAGCTCTCTTCTCCCAGTCAGATCAAATTAGGCCACAAATGCCACCCCCACCCTGTGCTAATTTGAGTTTAAAATGTTTGAACCACGATAAGCCTCAGCCATCGACAAATCCTTTTTTAAAAAAAAAAAAACAGGAGCATAAAATTACATGTTAAAAGAATAAAAACGCATTCGCCCAATTAATTTTCTGAAATCTCATTAAAAAATTTAGCCTGACTAAGTCAGACTTCTGACCTGAATTTTAATCATCTTTACACTGGATGGGTCCTTTTTCCCTGATATTTGCAATGCATCATTAATTTTAAGGCAACCGTTTCTATGATTTTAAAAAGCACATTTCATCAGAATGACATTTCCTGTAAACGAATTTCACCTTTAAAGACATCTGACATCCTGTGTAAGGAACTTCTCATAGATTCAGTATATGTGTATATGGCGATGTGTTTTAAATACGCCTTCGCACAAAAGAAGGCCATGATTCACAGAGAGTCCATATTGTCAGGCTCTTTCCGAGGCCAGCCCCACTCAGCTCTTCATGACCTGGCTAATTTCAAACCCAAAGCCAATCTTCCCTCTTGCAGATTTGTGGCAAGAAGGTGCATATGGGGCCATAAGACCGGAGTGACTCCTGGCTCTGTCCCTTCATAGCAAAAAAACCGAGTTACTTATCTCAGTCCACCACCCCCACCGCCTAGCAAAATTCAGTGCGAAATAATAGCCACTTCTCCCAGTTGGTAAAAGGACAAAACGAGATTAAGTGCCAGGTGTCACACTATCGGTGCAACCACCACCATGATTGTCTCAACCTGGATATCTACACTCAGCTTGACAGGAGCAGTGAGTGAGATGCCCAAAGCATGGAAGACACCTGATAACAAAGCCTAAAATCATCTCAACTCTAGCGGCTCCCCCAGGCCGATCCTTATTAGCCGAGCTCAGAGAGAGCTCAGCTTAAAAACACAAATGAGAGAATCTGGAACCAGCTCCCAATGACTGACAAGTAAAGCCTTGAAGAACGAAGCCACACAGAGCATCAGCCACCACCCAGAAGGCTGGCCATATCCTGGACTTCCATCTCCCTCATCCCTTTAGTTACCAAGAACAGTTAGTTTTTCCCCTGGAAGTCTCCGGAATCTTCCCTCCTATGTCTAGCCCATTTAAGACCAAAGCATCATCTCACCTGGGTGTGGGCAGCAGCCTCCTTGCCGCCTCCTATTTCTACCTTACTTGTGTCTTGAGCTCCAGCTGCCGGTGATCTAAAACCCAAGCTCCCGTCAACTTCAAATCCTTAGTGGGCTTCTCATTTGCTACAGAGTCAATTCCAAACGACACAGCATGGATTCCAGGCCTTTCATAAACACTGGACATTCTACCTTACCTAAGCACCAGTCTCTAAACACTTATCTAACCTGACTGGTCTCTGTCTTTGAAACGAGACGAGCACTTGCTGAATTTACAACAAGCAAACGCTTCTTGAATTTTAATGGCTGTTAATATTTGGTCATTAAATCTTATCTAACTACCATCATTGGTTTGGGAAATTTTTCATAAAGATTTGGGCCTGTGCCGTGCTGATGTAGTGACAGCTGTCCCCAACCCCTGCAAAGTTAAGCACATTCCTTTCTCTCTGAATAGTGCTGAATAGAATGGACCTTGGCAGGTCCCAAACGGGTCTGCAAAGACTTTCCAGGTGGAAGACGCCATTAGCCAGGGCTTTCTTGGACAAGAACACCTTTCTTCTTCTTGGAAATTCATGTGGTTCTTAGTAGGTCAGCTGAGCCTTGCGTTTCATTCCTGATGAAAATGCTCTGTAGCGAACTGGTAAAATTAGAGAGCTTAGAGCATTTTAGGCTCTTTTTCTCAACTCTATTCATTCATTAATCCAAAACCTCAATAAAAGCAAGCATGTTCAGCTTTCCCAAGTACATATGAATTTCACATATGATTCTGCCGGGTTCAGCAAACAAATTTTCATATGCCGACAGCTCTCCGAGCTAGAAAGCTCCTTGAAATGAACAAACCACTTGCCTTGGGCAGAGAAGGTTAAAAAAAAAAACAGGTTCTAAGTGTTTTGCTAAATTGTCCTTTCTACATTGGGGGTATTTCCAGCTCTGGATTCTTTAGCCATGAAAACTAAAATGAATTTTAAAACGTAGGACACCATTTCCTTAACACCCACACTGTTGGATGCCATGTTGGATGTTTAAGGTATACTATCGCACGCAGTGTTCACGGCCCCGTTCTACAGATGAGAAAACTGAGCTGAGAGAGGTCTTCCACCCAGTATCACCTGACTGGTGAGGGATGGAGTTGGGAACGGAACCCGGCCTGGTCCAGCGCACAGCATTCTCGCAGTCGGAG